ATATATTCTAGAGTGATATGTTACTTATGACTTACATGTGTTATGTTATATTTGTTTTTATAACTATATCATATAACTACTTGAAATATAAATATATTAGTTGATAATTAATTTTATTTTTCTAATTAGTATTAAAAATAATTTTATTATTGTTATAAAGATAAATATAAATTATTTCTTTTATACATACAATATGGATGTTAAATCGAAGCTCATCAAAAGAAGATTAATTTGATATATTACATATGTAAAACTGACAAAAAATACAAAAGTTATTAACTTTTAAAATATATATACAATTCAATAGTTATAATAAGGAATGATATTAAAATACAATTAATACATGTAACATGACCATAAATAATCAACATATTTATGGTAATCTGAACCTAATTATTTTTGGTTTGGAATTAAATTAAAATTTACCCAAGCCTAATAACGAAGCATGTAATCTTGCCACATAGGAATTCGAAGCACCAGAAGCAGCCACGTAGGCTCAGCGCGTTCTGTATTAATATATAGGGGGGATATATATTATATATTTAGTATAACACTTTTTATTTGTGTGACTTACTTGTGTTATATTATAATAATTTTTTTAACTTACAACATATAACTACATTAAACATAAATATATCAACTGAGAAATAATTTTATTTTTCTAATAAATTTTAATAAATATTATTATTTTGTATTATTACTGTTACCCAATTTTGGCCTCACCCATGAAAATATTACACGTGGATATATATAGTAAATAAATATAAAATAGCAGGTTCTTTTATCTGATTTATATTGACCGAGTTCCCAGAAGTCAAGACGGTCCACATCCAAAACTAATCAGAATTCAATGACGCCAGTTCGACCCAGATATCTCAAAGAAGCTACTTTAACAGACACGTCCAATTGTCCACAAGACACAGGCAAGTCGAAGTGCCAGTCAATCCAAATATTAGACCCTGCGCGGTCATATTTATTAGGTCCTGCGCGGTCATATTTATTATTGGGCCCTGCGCGGTCATGTTTTATTAATTACATGTGTATTGTAAAAGTCCATTAGATATATGGGCCCACATTAGCCCAAATATAAAGATATATATATGGGCTGAAGAGATAAGTCAGGGGAGGCTTTTTTCACTCCCCTTTCCCTTATTAAAAAAAGAGTCACCGCCTCTCTACTACTTCTTCTTCTTGGAGGATCTTTTCAACACACAAGAAAAAAAGACTGTCTTCTTCAATTCTTTATCATTGATCAACACCAAAATATAAGAAAAAGGGATAGATTTTCATCTCCCAAAAATCACTAAAAATTCATATTTACCTTACACCGATTATTCACGAAATAGGGGTGTACATTTTTGTTGTTACAATTTCGCATAACAACAATTATAAAGATAAATATAATTTATTTATTTTATATATATAATATGGATGTCAAATCGAAGATCATGAAAGGATTATTAATTTGATATATTATATATGTAAAACCGATAAAAAATATAAAAGTTATCAACTTTTAAAATACATTTATAATTCAATAGCTAATTGAAGGAAACAAATCAAAAGTCAGGAACATATTAGTCACTTAGTGACTCACTATGTAAAATTACAAAAAATTAAAGGGTTATATTAGTACAAGTGACCTCACTATGTAAAATTACAAAGAATTAAAGGGTTATATTAGTACAAGTGATATTAAAATACCTAAGTTGCTAAATAATGCTTATGGAATGTCCGAACCTAAATTATTAATTATTAATATATTAATATTATTTGTTCAAACCTAATTACGAAGTATGATTCTTCGTAAAGTAGGATTCCGAAGTACCAGAAGCAGCCACGTAAGCTCAGCGCATTCGGGAATTATATATAGGGGGGATATTTAGATAAAATTCCGAAAACAATAATATTAGTTTTTATTTTGATTAACCTATTGAAGGGAGTCCGAGAAACATTTTCTCTATTATCTCACATACATTATTTTATAATAAAATTAATGGTGGTGGACCATATATATTTATAACACTCTCCCTTGAATGACTATTTTCTAAACATATTTGAATCATTATTTGAACAAAGCCCAATCTGCACATCTTCAAGTATATTTTGTGTCCATCAGGTACCGTAGCTTCAGCATGTCAGGAAAACCCGGTGGGACAAAACATGATCATCGTGAAATTATAACATTGTTTCCTCAGGAAAACCCGGTTGGACAAAACATGAGTATTGTGGAAGCACAATATTGCTCCCCCTCAAATAGATTATCTTTAATGGAGTATCCGCATGCTGCCTCGTTAAAACCTTGTCAAGAAAAACCTAGTGGGAAAAAATTGATCGAAGGAAAAAGAGTACATTTACTCCAGTCTCTCTTATCATTGTGAGGAATCATATCATTTATCCAGTAGTCATCATCATACCATGAATATGCCTCGTTAAAACCTTATTAACAAAACACAGTGGGACAAAATCTTAATGAAGGAAAAAGAGTACACTATTCATGTGAATACACCATCCCTGTTGCCTCATTAAAAACCTTGTTGGGAAAACCCATTGAGACAAAACCTCAGACAAGGGAAAAAGAGTACAACGCGTACTCTGTATATTCATAATAACAATCTTTCCATTATTTGTATGAGTATCATATAAATTTATTTAGATTTTGAGATACGAGTGGTATTCATGATAAAATGTCATATCATGCTTTGTGCAACTTTCTTTCAACTTCAAAATGATCATTATCATCAATTGACTCCAATGGCCTTATTGCCAAAAGTTTCCAATAATTACATTTCAGTTGATTTCAATCTCGTCAACATCATTTATATAGCACTATTCATTTGTTTGTGTCGACACTTATTCATTTCCATCATTTCTCTTGAGATGTCTCATTATCAATTGATTTCATCAATAGTATATATGTGTCTCCTTTCATTACTTATTTGAGGAATTTCAATATACACAATACCAACGCTTCCAGCGTATTATTCCACCATCATATCATTTCATATATTTCACCACCATCAGTATCATTCAGTTTACCATTTGCACACTTTCAGTGTGATGCATATACCATTTACAAATTTCAATCATTGATTCTCCCCCTCATCTTGACAGATCCCTGATCTGTATTTTCATTATTGAGTTTCTTTGAGGGGAGTTCTTATAATCTCCATTTCGTTCTCAATTTCAACAAATAATAAGAGGACTTTGAACTCATATCACTTGCAATGTGCACATTTTTCTTTCAAGAGTTCATCATATCAGCTGAGTGTATAACTAGCTTCATCACTTTCATATGACACTTATTTTTATTTTTTCATAATCATCTTGTGTCATTCTTTGATCAAACCATCTCGTAACTTCAGGTTACGTGTCATATACACATTCTTTGATCAAATCATATCGTAACTTCAGGTTACGAATCACACACATGTGGCTATTTATTGGATCCATAATATCTAGTAGCACACATGAAGGGGTAGTGGGCCCATATATCATACCCCTTTTATACTTATGATCAAATATCCATTCACAAATATTTAGCTAGTAATAATTTCACCAATCGAGAACAAAGTATCTCATCAGTTAATCATGCAAACCATCATCATTTATATCATAACATCACACTAATTCATTGTGACCCATTTATGCAAACATATCACATAATCTTTCGGCGACAATAAATGAACTTCAAGTGCAGATTCTGACCCACAATATTTAAATTCAAAATCGTATCACATGCGTATCATTCTTTCTTTCACATAGACTCTTTGTTTTTAGAGTCGTATAGCATACACATCATTTCTATAAATTATCAGGCAATTCATTCATTCTTTCTGAATAAAGGTCCGAATTTACAATTGGATTTAGCCCTCACAGATATCCATGAATATTATTTATTTGTCCAGTAAATATCATAAAAAGAATTTATCGATCTTGATTAGAAATATTGAGGGTTTTAGTGATTAATGATATTTCAAGTGATATTCGATGGTCGATTGAAGC